GAAGCGCGCGCATAGCTAGAACCGCATATTCGCCAACGGAGCAAGCACTACGTTACTAAATTTAGACTCCGGCAAATAGGTTCCACCTGCGTTTGTCAGATGTGATGGTGGTTATTTGTAGCGGCGCATCTAAGATGATGCTGCCAGAATTCGGCTGCGATATGTCGGTACTGCAGTACTGCGTGCAGACTCTCTATCTGTCGACTGTTCTAGGTCTACTCGCTCTGCACTGATCCCCTCCCTATAGAAGGATATGACAGGCGGTAGCTGGCGACGTATGGCGGATATGAAATAGCGGATCTGTCTCGTCGTTCGGTGTTCCTGGAATATTCCTCCGCACGCTGCTGCTGCTGCTGATCCACAGTTATTTGCCCGTGCTCGTGCTCTGTGCGGACGTGTTTACTTCAAGACGCAGGTGCTGGCTGCTATATTCTGTGAGTTGTGAGAGGGCGGGCGTGTTAAACAGCAGAGCTGGAACTCTCTGCTAACCAACTACCACGGCAGTGTGTGCCCGTGCTGTCCATTCAGTTGTGGTATATATTAAAAGAAAGTCGTCACCCATGGTCACGGAGGCGGAAGAGGTGAAAGGTAATGAATGACAGACACGTGATGTATATGTCTTCAAAAATGATATGCACTGACAGCTAGCATGCGTCGAAATCTGCGCGCTGTGAAATAAGTTAATGGCTAGCAGCTGCGTGAAGTTGTTACTATGGTAACGGTGAGCAGTTAATATTGACATTTTTCTATATTTACTCGTCTTGAATATATAGTGTTTTCGCCACGTGGGTGCGTGCAGGAGTCGCGATTCTAATCAACCGTAATCTCTATTAAACGCTCGTCAGCGATCAGTGATTGTTCAGCGCTTCTGTTTGTCGTTAATTACTATTAATTAAATTTGCGTTATTAAAGCGTATTGATCAATTAATTAAATGATTAGTATTTATTATTTATTATTATTATTTATTTATTTATTTCATTTATTTATTAAAGCTATTTATGAGCGCTCGGGTTATAATGATCCATTTCAAACCGATTGCGAACGCACGCCGGCGGCTGTACGTTGCACGCAGTCTACTCTAAAACACGGGGAGTGATTTACCCGTCACTTTGTTGTTGGTGGAATACACACTGCTGGCGATTGGGCTGTTGCGTTCTCTGCTGCTGCTGCTGGTTCAGGTTTTAAGCGTTCTCATTATCTCTGCAACCCATCCGTAATCGGGCGCCGTGGGAACGAACGGTCATCAGATTTGACATGAAAACCGCATTCGTTTCTCAAATGGAGATTGAACATGAAAGGGCTTTAGCAAGCGAAGCCCACTGGTGCGGAGTAAAGTCACGGCAAAGCGCCTCCTGCACCGGGGCAGCAGAGCGGATGCGCGTTCGCTTAGAGAGAGGCTAGCTGCCAGTGCGTGGTGTGATGCTGGTACGGCTAGGTGGTTAGACTTCATACCGGCTCCCCGCTCCGCGTGTTAGTGTGTCCTCCGCGCAAAAGTCAGTGTGGCCTCCACACGAAAGTCTCTACGAATTCCGTCCGTACAAGCTCGCTGTGAGACTGGTCACGATTAGCAAGAGAAGTGCTAGGCGGGCTGCGCCGCTCGTCGATATATATACGTGTAGGGAGTGTGCGATTGCTACCTAAGCTGCTCGGATCCGACACGAGTCGGATCTGTGGTTGGGCAGCCGGATCCGCTGGTGTTCGCCTGCATCAGCGCAGCGCGATGTTACCCGCCGTTGCCAATGACAACGCCGACGCCGACGTTGCCTCTTCGGAAGTTGAAGAAACGACGACGAAGGAAAATATTGGTGGGAAATGTCGGATCCGTTTCCGGTTACTGAAGAAGCGTGCTATATAGACTGGGCGGACACTGTGATTGCGTGCGTGTGTGAATGTGATTTGTGAATGTGTCTAGGTGTGTGAATCACGCCTAGAGGAATAATGATTTGTGTGCGCGGAAGTACGTGTGGGGGGTTGAAGTGCGTGAAAATTTTAGTCCATCATAGGTTAAGTACGGTGGCTTTGCATGTATGGGTGAAGTACGGGGGAAGTTTGTGTTGGTCCGGGAATCAAATGCCTTGGATCGATCCGACAACGGTACTAATCCATTCGATGTGATGCTGACATAGGTGCACCGGTCGAAAGTCAGTAATGAATGAATGAATGAACAAACGAACGAACAAACAAACAAACGAACTAACGAACGAACGAACGAACGAACGAACGAACGAACGAACGAACGAACGAACGAACGAATGAGTGAATGAATGAATGAATGAATGAATGAATGAATGAATGAATGAATGAATGAATGAATGAATGAATGAATAAATGAATGAACGAACGAACGAACGAACGAACGAACGAACGAACGAACGAACGAACGAACGAACGAACGAACGAACGAACGATTGAATGCATAAAGGGACGAATGAACGAACATTTTTCACGTCTCGGTACCAGCAAACCACATCTAACCGCAGCGCGTTTTTCTTCTTTCAGACACCCTGGAGGTGATTCGACACCACCCCGTCTTTGTCAAAGATGTTTCCTCCTACTGGTATAAACCGGACATCAGCAGAGAACAGGGTACGGACATATAATTACTGTGTTAGCATTAAGAGGGAAAAGCGAGTGCAGGCGTAAGCCGACACTGTAAAGCAAGACACCTCCCAAACACCTGTGGTGCGCACCACTCCGTTAGGAAGTTGCTGCCTAAATATCTTCGCGTAAGACGTGATGGAATTCACGAGAGCGATCATATGCTCTAGGCCATGAATCTGTTAGCACTAGCACTCTGAGCGGCGCACATGTGTGCGCGCGTGCGCCTGTGACTCAACTCTCCATGTGGGGACCACTCCTTGAATGTCACATAAACACCCAATGCTACTGTATTGGCTATCTAGAGACGCGGACAAATATAGTCTAGTCAACGATTGTATTTCGTGTGAATGGTAAATTTTCTTTCCAATTCTAAGACAAGTGCTTATTTCGATTTGGATTCATTTGGCGGAGATATTTCGTTTTCGTTTTTCGGGATTGTATGTAAATATGATCAGGGGTACGCTCATCGTACTTCAGTCCAGATGCCCATCGTCCGGTCATGTGGATTTTATTAGCAGACATGCTATAGCTGCCTACATTCTGTTATAAACCTCGATGCATTGATGTGACCCATATCAGAGCGGCGATCAGCAGATGTTACTAACATAATGAGCTACTGGCTGCCAGCATCTAAGTCAAGTCATTTATGTGTATCTATCGCAGGCCACGTGTTTGTTGTTATCCCATCTAAATTTTTTATAGCTACCGTATTGGCGCCGTTAACAGCTACCGTATTGCCAGGGATGTTACTACCGCATTAGCTAGAGTAGCTAGGGTTGTAACTACCGCATTAGCTTGAGTAGTTAGGGTTGTAACTACCGTATTAGCTAGAGTAGCTATAGGGTTGTAGCTACTGTATTAGTTAGGGTAGCTAAGGTTGTAACTCCTGCATTACCTATGGTAGCTAGGATAGCTAGGGTTGTAACTACCGCATTAGCTAGGGTAGCTAGGGTTGTTACTACAGCATTAGCTAGGGTAGCTAGGGTTGTAGCTACGGTGTTTGTAGGTAACGTAGTATCAAATTCTCTATAGATGTTACCTGCTGGTTGCTGCTGTAGTTGCCGTATTTATGTTTGTGGCTAACACATCCATCTCGGTATGGCTATCATGGCATTGTATCGAGCGTAATCTATGTATATGGAGTATATATATCTAGTATATGGATTACATGAGTATATCATTTACTCCTGATATAATATATTGGTGTTTGTAACTACAACGCATTTACTGGTACGTGTCGCTATTACATTTACTAACCAATGTAGGGCATCACTTTTCTATTGTTATCTAAAATAACTCTTAACCGTTTATTGTCGCAAAAATGCCTAATTATATATTATCAAGAGCTAATAACACATAGAGTGTACAACGGGAAAACGGGAAAATAGTAGTGCTATTTTACGGCAAGATTATTCTACTTTAACTGCAAGGTTAGAATAAGTTCATGGTATTGCATTATGAAGCATTCCTTTATATCTAAAACAAAACCAAGCGCTTGTCTCTACGACATGCCTAGGTTGAAATATTGGATTGTAATCTTGCCTATAGACTTACCGTTAAAGTAGAATAACCTTGCCGTAAAATAGCACTATTCCCCCCCTTTTCCATTCTACACTCTAGGTATTATTAGCTCTTGTTATTATCCATACGGGCGCATGTTGCTGTTACTATAATTACCGCGTCATTACCGTGTTGTTATCGGTGCTTGCAGCTATTAATATGCTGAAGGAGAGACCACCGGGCACGTTTGTGGTTCGGGACAGTAACTCGTTCCCGGGAGCATTCGGGCTGGCAGTGAAGGTAGCCCAGCCACCGCCCAACGTCCAGCACAAGATGGGCGATGTCTCAAACGAACTGGTGCGGCATTTCTTGATAGAACCGACCGCCAAGGGCGTGAGGCTGAAGGGCTGCGCCAATGAACCAGTCTTCGGTAAGATTTCTCCCATCGTCTGCTTATTCAGTTTTGGTATTTAGCGCGCGAGTGCGTGCGTGTGTGCGTGCGTGCATGCATGCGTGTGTACGTTCGTGCGCGCGTGTGTGCGTTTGTGTGTGCGTGCGTGAGTGTGCGCGCGTGTGTGCGTGAGTGTGCGCACGTGTGTGCGTGCTTGAGTGAGTGTGTGTGTGTGTGTGTGTGTGTGTGTGTGTGTGTGTGTGTGTGGTGGTGTGTGTGTGTGTGTGTGTGTGTGTGTGTGTGTGTGTGTGTGTGTGTGTGTGTGTGTGTGTTGGTGCGTGTGTGTATGGAGGGGGCAACCTGAATCACAGTGAAATACGCGGATTCATAGCTGCTTTAATACTATCTCCTGATACTATTTTATTCTTAGTCTCCCAATTGAGGTAATATATGTAAGGAAAGACGGGGTTAAAATATGATTTGAAATGATATGAATAATATATACATATGATAATATAATAAATCAGTAGAATAATGATATGATTAAGCGAGTGAGTGGGCTTAACTGTAACATAGACCTTAAGGTTCGTAATTCCGCATCATACAGTCTGTGGAAGCCTGTGTCGCAGTGCGTACATCGCCTGTGTTACAAGTTACTGCGTGGTTTTTTGGCAGTTAAGTCTCGATGTCGAAGTGTTGACTTGCGCTCGTCAAGGTAACACCTTTTCACTTCTTAGCCTCATTTTACAGCGCAAATTGAGCCATTTAAGGCAAAATAAAGAAATGTATAAAAATAACTAGCTATATAGCGTTCTACAGTGCGCGTCTATAGCAAATGAAATAACGCTCTCCTTCTAGGAAGTGTTGTTCTAGGAGTGCGTGCCACGATACATACCGTCTTGAATGATAGAAAAAGATCACATAAACAAGTTGTCATTACAGGAAGTTTGTCGGCGCTCGTGTATCAACATTCTATCACGGCTTGGCTCTGCCTTGCAAGCTGATCATACTGAAATTGGTACGTATTAAAGAGAAAGTGTATGAAGGCAATGAATTACCGTGAAGGACGCTTTTGCTGAGGAACGAGAAAGAAATGAGTGAGTGCGGTGAATGAGTGTGTGGTGGTTGTGTGCTGTGCGGGCGTTCATGTTTGCCGGTGTGTTTCGTGCGTGCGTTACATGCGTACGTACGTGTGGTATTTGCGTTTGCATTTGTGCGTGTTGCCCGTGCGAATGCGCGCTATGCGTACGTGTGTGTTGGTGCGTATATGTGCTATGTGAGTCTGCTGGTTTGGTTTACTGCGCGCCGCGCGTAGCGTGCGTGCGTGGCGTGCGTGCGTGCGTGTGTGTGTGCGTGTGCGTTGTGCTGTGCGTGTGGCGTGTGCGTGTGCGTGTGCGTGTGCGTGTGCGTGTGCGTGTGCGTGTGCGTGTGCGTTTGTGTGTGTGCGTGCGTGCGTGCGTGCGTGCGTGCGTGCGTGCGTGCGTGCGTGTGTGTGTGTAGGATAGAGGGAGAGAGAGAGAGAGGGAAAGAACGAAAGAGCGATGAGGGATGTAAGCTATATATAGTATATGTCAACGCAGCGTGAGTGATTATGTTTTATTATACAATTTTCGCCAGTCGTTCGCAAATTTTCGCTTGCCTATGATTCTACCATTATTTCGCTATTTCGCAATACAACCTCTGCATGATGAAAATCTAGAGTGAAATGAGCCGAATGCTTCGCGCACTACTGCGTGCTGCTGCGAAATAGAACTCTGACTGACTCAGAGCAGCAGCAGCAGCAGCAGCATGATCTGCAAAGCTGCCCTATCGCGCCCTGTCTGGCACGCCTCGCTTACCTCATGCCGACGTCCTTAACTTGAATCGACAAGCCTTGCCATGCTTCTAGCCACGATTATTGTTGCAACTATACATGAGTTATTTCGTTGAATAATCGAGCATTCGTGCTGCATGTTGTCATCTATCTCGTTCGATCACCATGGCTACGATTGATGTTTCGCCCGGGGTTACATGTTAAATACATAATAGCACGTCTCAATGCCGCCTGAGCACAACATGCGAACGTGATCGAATCGAGGAACTTAGCATGGCGTATAATAATCTGCATGCAGCAGCAAATATCCTAGTTGCCACAGTCCTCCTTGTTTAGATAGAAGAATTTGCCACGGAATGCGCATTTTGACTAGTTTGCATGCGTTTTTGCGTACTAAAATATTTTTGTTTCTGACATACCAGTCTCACTGCCTGGTATTCTTCCAGACCCGGCAGTAGAGACTGCGTCAGAGAGTGAACACGGCCTGCCCAGCACGGCATCGGCCCTACTAGCGCAAGGTGCAGGTATGTATGTACAGACCGCGACTGCAGGAAGAACAAGAAAGTGTGAGGGAGGGGAGCTCAAAGAATAAAATAGGAGATCCTAGGGGGGAGGGCGTTGTCCGAAACATCGTAAAGTTAATGCTAATGTTAAGACGAATTTGGTTTCTGACAACGGGCCCCTGGTTGGGAGAGAAGAATATTTGGTCACATACAGGAGATGCTCGAGATATGAGTTATGAATGCTTACACATACCTACTTCTGGGAGTTCTAGTGGCAGACTCTGCAGAATATTGCGCTGGTGTCAGGGACTAATAGGGACAGTTACCCGTTCATCGCCATCATTTTTATTTCCGTACATTGGAAACCAATGTTGTTATTTTTAAATGTCGGCCTGTACAGATGTAACAATTGGCTTCATTATAACAAGATGATTAGGCCTACCCGCAGACAATTTAAATCCTTGTCATTGTTTATTTATTATCTCATTGTACACGCCCACGTATTGCGTGCTGTGTCTGATTGGGATTTGCATAAGAGCTATGCACTTTCATTTAGATAAGAGATACTCTACGTAGTATGCGTTCGTTCATATGAATCTCCGTGCTTTCAGCTGGCACTACTATACGCGTACCACGCCGAGTGTCGAATGCTTTTTTGTCGCTTCTAAAATTACAATTAATTTAAAATTGAATTAATTAATTAATTAATTTAAAATTACAATTTATTCGTAAATCACAATGCGGGGCAAAGGCATTTGTGTCGGCGATGTACCGATGATGGCGCCACAGGTTGTGACAAATCCATGACAGATGACGCTGTCGCTCTGGCTCATTTACCTGCGTGCGAAGGGAGCGCTGCATGCAGTTTGGTGTTGTGACTGACAGCAACGCGTTTGTTTCGTCTTCGCTCGCAGCGTGCAACGTCCTGTACCTGTCCTCGTACGAGACGGAATCGTTGACCGGTCCGCAGGCCGTACGGCGAGCGATGGGTCTGCTCAGCCTGCAGGGTCAGATCGTGCCCACCGTTGTCCACTTCAAGGTGTCCGGCCAGGGCATCACACTCACGGACAACAACAGAAAGTAAGTCGCGTATAACCTTGCGTATAGTGTAACCTTGCAAAACCACAGTTTCATTATGCAACATAGCAGTGGCGGATCCAGAGGCAGAGGGGGGAGGGCACAGGGGGCGGTCGCCCCTTGTCCCCCTTAGAATTTTCAGGGCAAGGGTATTTTAGCCTAACACCCTCCCCCTCGGACGCTTCGTGCTCTTGAGCTCGCATGATTTGCCCCCCCCCTCCCCTAGAATTCACTTATCCGCCACTGCATAAAGGCGTAGATTGCTAGGGAATGAAAGCGGTAATAAGATAATGGAGAAGGGCATCGCGCGAGTAACAACGTTAAGTCCATTACGAGATGATATATATTCACGTCATAATTCTCCCGTCTGTTGTTTCAAGGTAATCGTAGAAAGAGTAAACCAGGAAAGCTGACGACCGTAATTAGTGATTAGTAATTAGTAATTCGTAATTAGTGATTAGCAATTAGTAATTCGTAATTAGTGGTTTGTAATTAGTGATTCGTAATTAGTGATTTGTAAGAAACCGCGAGTGACATACCTTAGTGGCGCGCGTAGGTGAACAGTTTCGGTGAGTCAACATTTTGGACAATGTATTATGTCACAAGTGTGAGTCGTCTCTGTCAAATAACCTAGATCGGGGAATGTGTTTTCTAGTGGATTTTCTAGAGGTGCAGACACCTCTGGCGTATGCTGGTAGTGCACCAGCAAGCGTTCGTACCCGTTATCATGGGTTTAGGTGGTTAGATTAAATGTTATAACGGGCATAAAACCATCGCTTTTGCAGGCTGTTCTTTAGACGCCACTATCCCGTGAATACGGTCACCTACTGTGGAATGGACCCGGAAGACCGCAGGTGGACGCAGCCCAGTCGTGACACCGGCATGCCAATGAACGCAAAGTAAGTGTCACCGTCTTTTCCTCCCGAACACGTGCTAATAAAGCACTGTTTACCAGGGGCCCGTTTTCAGAAACACAATTAGTCTTGACATTAGTGATGATGTTTCTGACAAACAACGGGCCCAGGTAGCAGCGTGTATTTCTGCCCTAGTGGTGCATCCAACTGTAGCGTGTAGGGTAAGGTCACTGTGCTCTATAGATTCCTCGGTTAAACTTGGTACCCCCTTCGATGTTGTGGCAACAGTTGTCTAGATAGCTCGATGGTGTTGGTTAGAATTACATGTCAAATACCTTGACGCAAAAAAGCTTGGTTGGCAGCATCGTTTTTTCAAAAATCAATACGTATCTGCATTCAGGTATATTTTAAGCTTAAATTAGAACTACCTAGTATATATTTCCATGAATTTATCTTCGGGCTTTCAGCAGAGAGCAGATAGAACAGGATATTTAATATTTGTGTTTTTCTATTTAATCATCCAGATGCTATGGCTTTATTGCGAGGAAAACTGGCAGCAAGACAGACAACGCTTGTCACCTCTTTGCTGAGCTTGATCCTGACCAGCCAGCCTCTGCCATCGTGAACTTTGTGTCAAAGGTCATGATCGCACATATGAACAAAGTCTGAACACATGAACTAAACATGTGGAGTTTATAAAATTCTATAACAATTGTAAATATGAAAATATAAGAGAGGTATATTAGCTAAAGATGGCCACGGTTAAAATGTTTCTGTAGTTGGTGGGTAGTGTTCGTGATGGCACGATTAATCGATGCACGAACCTGTCAGTGAATGCATCTAACCATGAACCTATGCATACTGAATACAGGTGATTTAACTATACATGGGTTCTTGATCTTACCCACCTAGTGGTGCTGAGAGGGTCTATGTCCCCCAGGGTACTGCCGGAACGTACCCTGGGTACGGTCCGGTATAACGGAATGTACCCTGGTAGAATCTAATATGCCGGGCCGTACCTCGCCTACTCCACTAACGAGTCTAGGGAGTCGCCTACGCCTACTTTCTAACCCTAACCCTAACAATATCAGATAGTTACCAGGGTACGTTCTGGTATACCGTACCGTACCCAGGGTACGTTCTGGCAGTACCCTGGGGGACATCTATGAGCCCTAGTGGTATGTACCACCAAGTGAGATGTCGTGCCATCCGACACATAGTCCTAAACCTATAAGAGACTTATAATGTGTTTAACTGGCCGCACATGATTTTTTAAAGTTGCTACGGCATTGATATACACGGATAACGGAGCTTGCATGGTTTTTTGCGAGCAAGAAAAGTCCTGTGCTTCCAAAGCTTTGTGCAGCATGCGCGTGCCAGACTGCCAGCTAAGCTCAGCTCGGTTTTTCGTAAGAACTGGATGAGGCCGGACCGTCCGGTCACAACGCGTTCTCTCGCGTGATGGTGCGCTAGTCTGTTTAGCCTGGCAACGTATACGTGTGCATAGTAGCGGTGTAGAAAATGGCGCGCTTGTCATAACGTGTTCGGACGTAGCTACACGATTACAGAGAATGTGGGCAAGAGTACCATGCACGCGTTATATTTGATATACTCATACGTAGCATCTGCTTATGACTTATGCGCTGGGCATTTTACGCAGTAGCTTTATTTCCCATATTTTTACGTTTGCTGTTAGTTTACAACAAAACTGGAAAATATTCGGTTTTTTGAGACGCGCTAGATTTTTTCAGATATGTTGCGTGAGAAACTGAAGTGTATTCAATTATGTATATCACTGTAGGTAGACTAACCCTCATGTCTGTGACGCTCACGCAATCTCGCGTACACGTCTGGTTGGAGAACATGGCAGCAAACGTAAATTCTGTACAGTGTATACGTAGTTGTTACAAATGTTATTATCATCGGTGCTTTTTTTACACTAGTATTTTGATTATGCATGTATTTAATGCTTGTAGCGAGAGTAAAACAATTTGAGTTTATATTGACTGCACGTTCTGGACGCGTTTAATGTATTTTAGCTGGTTTTACAAAGGGCAAGGCAAAACAGGACATGATAACCTAATGATATTTAGAGTACCATTTTTAGGCATTTCGAGGTGTAGGTTTTTATAGTTACTACAAGTACGCGCGGTGGCAGCATGAGAACCTGTAATCAACCAACCTACGAACTGAATTATTGTGGCAGATTAATCTTTTACTTTGTATAATTATTTACGTGTTTGTGGAAATGTACCAGGAACTGCATGACATTTATCGAAAACATGAGACCGTTAATGTGCAGAGGGTGGCAAGTAAGGTATATATTGATAACCTGTCCTGTTTATCAGCTAGCTGTAGAAGTTCAGCTAAAGTCACTCCAAACAGAGTTGTTGTTATGCTATATAGTTGTTATAACGTGACTGTAACTGTTATAAAGCTTCAGTTGTTGCAGGGGATGGTAATACTCAGTATATTTGTTGCTTCTCTGCGGGGTCTCTTTTACAATAGTGGCAGCAGTAGCAGTAGAAAGTCTTCACCTGAATCAAAATGCACCCGTGGATGGTCTCATGCAGAGAGCAATATAAACGTGATAGGATATATTGTCCGCAGGCTTCGTCAACATAAAGCCATTTTCATCGTTGCTTTCTGCAAGGTTACCGGGCAAAATATGGTGCTGTACACCAATAGCAGGAGTACGCAATAAAGACATATCATGTACTCCTGAGTACTGTAATAGGTCATTTCAGTTGCCCACTACTGAATTAATTTCTAAACGGATGAACGGTATATGCATAACCTATCCAGATGTATAACGTTATTGATGGAGTTTGTTTTTCTAGCAGAAAAAAATATTAGAGGTTTTGTGTTGTGCCTAAGACATTAAGTCAGTAAATGACAATGAAGATAATGCGCCATGTGTTGGTTGACATACATTGTTGCTGCATAATCGTGATTGATATGAATGAGTAAAATGAAACCTTGATATTAATTACATAATCGGTTGCGTTTTTTGTATATATTTTTAACTAGATGCACGCCGTTTATGAAAAATGTTTGTTTCTAGTTTGCCTTCGTCTTAGGGCACCCTTACACGATGTCTTGTTTGCAGTAACACGTAGCAGAATGTATGGATCAAAACTAATTACATTGGTCACCTATTAGTATGTATTATAACGATACTAAACACAATTGCATAGAAATTGTCCACGCGTCGCTGTGTAAATTTTATTCGTCACAAGGTAATTTTATTCGGCCAAACTAACGCGCTCAAAATTGGCAGGGGTGTGCCCGGTAGAGATGTCCGTGGTAAAATCCGATCTAGAAGTTTCGCTTTGGTCGCAGCATCCCACCACAATCCTCCACCTATGCTAATGTATATGTCAACTCATTTAATAATTGTCTACATGTCGCATGTACGCATGTATTTGGCGGCGAGTTAATAGTCACCGGATTATACCCAGGTGGTTGTATGTTCTGCCCCTCAAACGGAACAACAAACGAAAAACGCTTAACAGGGGGTGGTAGTGGGAGGAAGGCACTAAAAATTCAGTGCATGTACGAGTGGCGCGCGCGCGCATGTGTGTGTTTACGTGCGTGTACGAGTACGCGTTCGTGCGCGCGTGTTGCGTTCGTGTGCGTGCGCGTGCATTCGCGTGCGTTCGTCTTTCATAGAATAAGTTCTCTCTAACCGCTGTCGCGGCTAAGCTACATCTCAGTCTGTACGCTATGTAATGCATATTTGCTCGCCTACCTTCAACGTATGTACGGCGATAGTCTCTCGTTGATCTTCAGTGGATCTCTGTGTACGTTCTCAACGTGGTTTGACAAATTCGGTTTCTGACAGACGTATGTATCGGTGGCTATATATAGGAAAGATTCTCAGCGAGGTGACATCGTCCGTGACCATCCATGCGCGACGTCAACGCTCAAGGGGGGCATAAGCGACACAACGTGTCTCTACGCGATTTATTTTAACTTTTTCTTTAATTACCCGGTAACGACGGACCATTAGTGCGTTGTCTTATCACAGGGTGGAACTATATTAATTGCAGGGAGACGGTAATGGACATTAGAATACAACGAGGTCGATAGTAAGACACGTCAGTCGTTCGCTACTAATTCATTTGTTTCGTGGATTTCTACGCGGAAGAATATCAAACTGACTCAAACCTGATCATTAGTATTACCAGAAGTTATATATACGGAGAAATGTTTGTCATTATACACTCCTGGTATTATGCGTGTTCGCGGGTAGAGGTTTACTCACGCAAGGCCACTCGCTTCATGCTCTTAGCCCTGCGTGCACGCCCTACCATACATCTAACTAATATTCTGCACAGACTATAGCTGATACATATCGGTTTATACATGCTTTTACATGTTACTACGATACGTGCGTACACAGATTCTAAAGAGTAGAGATTTTTATTGTCACGCGCCACCGTTCACATGCCCAGGTTGGCCGGTTCTCACAAAGACCATGCTCTTCGCCGTGAGTAGTGGAGCAAATTTATAGCTTTGTCATCGCCATTTTCATCGTCGTCACAGCTAGCAGTAGCAACAGCAGGAATAACAGCAACAGTACCAGCAGCAGCAGCAGCAACAACAACAACAACAGCACCACCAACAACAACAACAACGTAATTATATCTATTATCTATTATATTATCTATATTATACATGGATAATATCAAACCGCGTTATGGCGCGGGAATAAAAACGAGCGCACATTTAATTTGATGCGGATATCTGGTTGTAGCTGAAGATGCCTGCTGTAAAACGTGAATGTGTGTTCTAATCAATGGATGAAGTGACCGATGTGGCGGTGCTGTAAGGGATAGCATGTCGCAATAAATAACAATAACACGATCTTTACAAATCGGTTTAAATATTTATTAGTAGCAACACGCACTATTAGAATAAAGTGATTATTGTGATTTATAATAATCGATGATTCGATGATCTAATAGCCAATCAGGCACGACCGTATCACGCAGTTTAGCCAAATTAGTTACTTATAATTTATGAAGTGTGACATGATGAATCAGTAATAAATTTGTCGATATGAATTAAAAATGAAGTTACATCTGAATCACAGGCCTCAAGATTCTCATACAAGGTAGAAATACAGAAAAAACAACTACGTCAAAACATGTCGCAATTTTAAAACAAAATCAAATCAAAATGAGTAGTTTGAAATCAAATGAGGATTTCAGGACATTTGTGAAACCTACCTTGTATATCGTATTACTTAATTAACATTATTAGTATTGCTTAATTAATAACATTAATTATTATAATGTTTGCTTTTATTAACCTCGGTTTTTGTGTACTTGAAGACCTATGTGCAGCATTGATAACATATCTCATGGACACCCTCCAACCAGCATTGTCTTTACAGTTCAGGTTGACTTCAAGGGTTTATTCGAAGTAATATAATGTTGTTTTATATATATATAATGTAGACAACCGCACCGAAATATCTCAGAGGAAAATAAGCTCAGTAAAACATATGCGCAATTTATGTCATGCAAATAAATATTCCATATATGCTTACGTTTCTCTATTCTCCTCCCCATTATTGGATAGCTTATTACAATTTTTAGAAGGCCAAAACAAATTTAACTGTTGCTTTACTATACCGCCTTCCACTAGCACACACCACCGGGCGTGTGGGCGTTCGTGGTCTTATCGCTCTGCTTCTACCACACAGTGCTGCTAAACCTTCTCGGATTCTTCTTTCTTACGCTTCTAATATTTCTCAGCGTTACTCGCCGCGTTCTCCTCTTCTTGCAGAGAAGCTGCGCGTACTGCCAATCTGCTTTCTTGACTAATCTTCTTTTTTTCATTTTGCTGTCTACGATCGCCCAGGTAGAAATATGAGAACGTGAACGCAGGTGTAAATCTTCGCGACATGCGCAGGTATCTGTTCTCAGCTAGCAACTCGCGGATGAAGCGCTCGCGGCGGACACGCTTCTGCTCTGCTGCTTCCCTCTTGGCAGTCCGCAGGGCCTCCTCTTCGGCAAATTTCTGCAGTTCTGCCTCCTCTCTGAGACGGACAGTTTCTAGCTCGGCGACACTCACGGCAGCTTCATAGCCAGCATCCCTGCAGAACACAATGCGACATACAGCCAGAGAGCACTACGACGCATGTGCGCGTGCGTATTATCATATTATTATTATTATTATTATTATTATTATTATTATTATTCCATTCGACTCATTATTCTAACATAAATAAACATTAGAATTCGCTTATAATCAATCGGCAGGTGATACACAGTCTACTCGCAGAGGCACATGCCGTTTAAACGTGGCCGATAGTTTTATTTCAGACATGAGCGCATATAGTTGCGCGTTACTTGCATTACGCATGTATATGGGAGAAGTATGATATTTCATAGCAGCTCTGCGCGACACGCACCCTGGTGTGATGTCGTGCGTGTCGTGTTGGACATCACGAGGTGTGCTGGCGAACTCGTCCTGTGAATGTCGTTCGTTGTCCGGAGGATTGACGTACTCATCCTGCATTAATTGGCATAGTTTACATGAAACCAGGTTAACCAGTGGTTCTTGTATATATTAGTATTTGCTATATATATTATTAACAATGAGATGAACAAAATAATGACTATATTATTAACAATGATATCTACAAAATAATTACCATATTATTAACAATGAGATGAACAAAATAATGACTATATTATTAACAATGATATCTACAAAATAATTACCATATTATTAACAATGAGATGAACAAAATAATTGCGAGAGTGGCTATAACAGTAATAATAGCATGAGTAATGAGATTGAATTATGATGACGATAATAGTACAGCAAATGCAGGATAAGGACGTCAATCATACTGATTGATCTCCTCATCCCATCGCATGATCAACGACTATCGATTACGAATCTATACAAATGGCCACTATATAGAGACTATAATATACTATATATATATATAAATAATAGAAAGAGCTGCTCAGAATAATAGAAAAAACTGCTCATAAATAAGCCAATAGATTAACCAGAGGTTAATTGCTATATTATTCATTGTTTATTAAATTATTCGGTAGCTAGCATCTTCTATTACCTACTTCAGCTGCTTGAAGCTTGAATAGGATGTAATAGAATCAGGAATACATGTACAGAGTACTCAATTCATGTACTCCTGATACAATATCAGTAGCGAATAAACAAATAAATAAACGAACAAACACACAAACAAACAACGAATAAACACTTTTTTTTAACAAATCGTTCACACCTGATAATATCATGCGCGGATCCAGTGCAGGGCTAACGTTTTAAAACTTGAATATTTCACAAATTTTACCATATCAGAGACGATAAGCAAATTCCGGGGACCTTTCACATTATCTGTTGTCATTATTATCTATCTGTTCCTAGCGGGGGGTCTCACGTTTAGCCAGGCTTCTATGAATCCGTAGCAGGGCGCAGCACTCCTCTCTACCATCGGCTCTCCGTCATCATCAACAACCAACATGTCTCTCTCACCGAGCCGGCTGTTGCTGCTGAGTCTCTCAGAGCCAGACATTAGAGAATCGATGCCTCGGGAAGATGCAGCATCTGTCAGTCACACATGAGCAATGATGCTACTACTACTAATGCTATGCTATGAGTATGAGTATGTGTATACTGGGTATATACGCTGTTGACCGTGTCGCAAACCCGGACACAGGTAGTGTTAGAATTAACTCACGATTAACAACACCAATATTTTTATCATCTAAATCTGTTTTGCATCAGTTTTTGATTGAGGTGCTATCCTCAGCGTCATAATAAATGGAATAACGAGAAAAATTTAATCCGTGGTAAGAGATGCGAGCACCTGGAAAGTCATCCTCTGCGTCGCTACTCCCTGCATTCAGACTCGGAGACTTGATGAGAATATCGACGTCGTCACTACCATCGCTGTACACACTCTGCAGGGTTTCTTGAACCTGGCTTTCAATGCTATAAGAGACATGCACCGGGTCACACACAGACTGGGCTTATTCTCTCGCTCAGCCATTCTCAACTCAGGTCGAAATACCAGCTATTGTACATAAAATTAGACGTTATAATTTTTAATTCGCTCGGCAATTTTCAACTCGGGTCGAAATACCAGATATTTTACTAAAAAATTACGCGTTATTATTTTAGTTAAAAAATAAATAAACTTTGAGTCGACGTGTAAACGTTCTAAACGTTTGCATTTACCTATCATTGCGTCTTGTACCACCTTCTCTTGCGGTAGTATCATCTTGCGCCGAGGAGGGGCCTGCGTGGAACAGAAGATCGAGTCTTGCCTGGCGTCGCGCCGCTTCTTTCTCCGCCCTCTTCTTCTCCACCAACTGACGCCGTAGCTCTGCTATCTTTGCTCTCTCACCTCGAGAACTTCGCTGGTAGCTGTCGGATCGCACCGTCACCTTCCATAAAAGGGTGATTTATATATACAGGAGTAGATAATAGGGACCCCCTATTGTCCCCTAGGGTTCCCTATTATCTACTCCTGATATATACAATAAAATGTTCATAGCAACAATAGTGGGGAAAGCTAACCCACCGCCAGTGTCAGCGGTAGTGAGTATAACAATGGGATGTACACATCTTTGCGAGAGAGTGGATATAGCAGTAATAATAGCACTGGCAATGAAATGAAATTATGATGATGATAGTTGTACAATAATTTCTTATACGTGCTCTAATATTCTATCATAAAATATATTTAAAATTTGGAAATTACCTGGCTTTCTAGAGACTCTGTGCTATCAACAGGATGTGAATCGCTAATCTCAGACGTTGGAGTTTCCTGAGTGAATATAGTGCATATATTACCATATATAATATAACACACAATGCTGCACTACCAACTTTCAACTATGTAAAATTTCAGAGAATTTAATCAGTCTTCTAATCAATATTCACCTCCTTTGAATGATCCTGAAGCATACCATCAGAAATGTCTTCTTGCGCATCTTGCTTTTTTGTCTTCATATTATTTGTCTTCTTTAGCTTCTTTTTGAGCTTCGTTTTGTTTAGGATCGTAAACGCCCCCTTCTGCTTGGAGCCTCCTTGTCGTTTGCTACTAGTAGCAGTATGCCCGCCTCTTATAACAGGCACCTGCTGCTTTGGCTGCTCACTATTCTCTATGTGGGAACTGTCTGATAATGCCATCTCCTTTGGTTTCTTCAAAGTGTCCTCACGTGATTGGCCAGCAAGTGAGGGAACCTGGCCACATTGATTTATAGACGGGAGAACGGTAGGTATCCCACCATGAATTGCGCTGGGAAATGTGCTAGTTCCCGCCGTCGCAGTGTCTTCTTTGTCTCCGAAACTCACCACAAAATCCGCTGCGATCGGAGTAAAGACGACGTCAGGTGACGCCAACTGCTCCGTATACGGCAGTGCCTCTTGCTTTGCGATTGCTGGTAACTTCTCTGCATTGGCAAGCCCTGTCTGGCGAGAAACACCATTCTCGGCGGTGGCAGGCCTGCTACTGCTGACTTCAGGTAGATGTTCAGTGTGCTCGCTGGTTTGGGCTCCGTGGATTTCATCCGCATTCCACTTTGGGCTCAGCAATGGAAGACTGTGATAGTTAAAGGTGCATTCAGACACTACGTTATCGCTTTGCAGCAGCCACGTGACGATTCTATCAAAGGCTGCACGTGACAGCCCGCCTACATGCTCCTCTACCTGGGACAGCCCACCTCCAAGTGCTTCTGTACGTGACAGCCCGCCTACATGCTCCTCTGCCTGGGACAGCCCCCCTCCAAGTGCCTCTGTACGTGACAGCCTCCCTACATGCTCCTCTGCCTGGGACAGCCCCCCTCCAAGTGCCTCTGTACGTGACAGCCCGCCAACATGCTCCTCTGCCTGGGACAGCCCCTCTCCAAGTGCCTCTGTACGTGACAGCCTCCCTACATGCTCCTCTGCCTGGGACAGCCCCCCTCCAAGTGCCTCTGACACATCGTCGACACTTTCCTTCTCCACGTGCAGCCTGTTCACGGGCTTTTCTGGCCACAGTAGCTCCTTTTCACGGCTCGACCTTCCGACACGTTCCCCCTCCACAGGCTCTTCCACCGGAGGTAGCCTGCCCGCAATAGCCCCTATCTGTGACATTCCTTCTGCAAGCTCCTTTATCGGAGGCAGTTTGTCCACATACTCCCTTCTCTGTGACAACTCTTTAACGACCTTTTCCACATGCGGCAGCTTGTCCACATGTTCGCCTGTGTGTGGCGCTCCCTCCGCAAGTTCCTCTATCTGGGGCAACTTGCCCACGCGCTCTCCAGCCGGTGACAGCCCTGCCATGAGCTCAGCAGTTTCCGGCACCCTTTCCACGCATTCTCCTGTAGAAGAAGGACTGCCGACAAACTCAGATGTCTGTGTGAGACCGCTGGCATTCTTCCCTGCCCGTGACAACTCACCCACAAGCATTCCTAGTGTTCCCTCTCCATGCCCATCGCCTCCTGTGTGATCACCTGCCTGAGACTGCCTGTCTTCTATCTTATGTTGTGTATCACAACACACGTGCGATGCTAAATAATTGCTCTCGTCTGTACTCAGCGCATGAAGGAGCGCAGCAAGGGACTGTTTGGTGTCTCCATCGATGCTCTCCAGTGAGCTGACTCTCGATAAAGTAACGGTGCCATCTCTCTTCACCTGTATCGCGACGATCTGGCCATTGCTCTGAACGTCAGTGTAAGCGCTGCTCACTGTGAGCTCATGCTCTTCTATGATAACCGAATCCTCTAAGTTGCTCACATTGTTAACTACTCCCTGTGTTTTAGACTCTCTGACAACGTTCTCGGTTGCGTTTCTACAATCTCCATCATCTCTCGGTATCGTACCCTTACGGGTGAAATAAGGAATAAGAAGCCTATTGGAGCAGCTGTCGTAGAAGAGGATGCCTTCCACGGGCAACCTGACAGGTTCAAGCTTGCCCACGTCCCCTACTGTCTCCATGCTTACCAACACCTTATGGCCACTACTGTTAGTCGCTACTGCGATGTCTGACGCGTGAACACTGCCACTGGACACGCACTGCATTAAAAGGCTGGGTATGATGTACAGATCACCACCTTCGGAATACCACCCCTCCCTGCCCCTACCGGGTATCACTGCCTTTGTGTGCGGCACATCATGGCATGGTTTCTGCAGGGCAGGATCACCCGCGCGATAGTCAACTGCGATGTCACCTGAACCTACGACCGTGCTAGTCACACCTAGCGATTGCTGTGAGCCGTTCTCACGCAACTGCATCATGCCAGGATTATCGTCACCAGTGTGCTGCTGCTGCGACCAAATCTCTGACACATGGCGCTCAGGTTCAACCTGGCCCACTTGTTGTGCGTGTGATAGGGAGCGTATTTCAGTGGGCATAGCTGCAGGCCCATCCAGCGTGACACCCAAGTCTGGAAGACTTGCATCGTTGGGCACATATTTTACCCCAGCAGACACGTGGGTGCCCTCAAGCAGGTCTGCCAAGTCTGTCTGTAGAAGAACAACAGAGAGCGCTGCTGCCATTAATGCATCACTGTACACACATATATTAACGGGCATTTACTGACTTCTACGGAATTCTAAGGAATGCGTTATTGCGATTATAAGCACATTTGGAAATTCTATCAGAGTTTAACAAGCAGAGCCATCTTGATTGCAAACATACCCGAATTTCTTGAAGACTGCTCAGATCGTTTAGATCAAGAAGATGCTGACCGCCACAAGTGGCCATGGTCGTGCTGCAGTGATTAGCGATGGATGGCTTAATTGTCGGCAATGTGCTCCTAGTACCTTCTCGCTTACATCGTGTCTCGGTTTCTGCACTCAATGTCTGAAGGAAATGGCGACACCTCATTGCAACAACCACTAATCACTAAACAGTTCTACAGTAAAATTTTCACCAGCAACCGATACAGCTGAAACAGCATGGAATGCAACGGAAAAACAAAATGGGTTAAAGCTATTAACTTGTGAGCAATAACAGTAATTACTATCTCTTATTCATTAATGATATAAAAGACACTTAATCACTAACTAAGATGTGCGCATGTTAGCCACCTTAATTTTCTGTTTGCACTTACATTTCTCTCCGAGACGAACACCTCTTTCGAACACGGGATTTTTGGTTTTCTGTCTGTTGTTTGCTCATCATAATTCTGCGATGGTGAGATGACAACTCTGTCTATGAACTCCTCTGAGTAAAGGACCAGTGCCCCTATCAAAGGTCATTGCAACCAGTAGACTAATTAGGAAGTGGAATCGTGTTTGCTAAAGGCAGGAAAAACAATACCGGGGCTAAACATTGAGATAGGCAGAACGATACATTTGCGGCCTCAAGACCCAAACGAGGCTCGTCATATTGCTGTTGTAAGTAGTGTTTCAATACCATACTATAATACAGGAGATTGCAGTAACATGCATTAGTCATCCGCTTCTAATATTGGTGTATTGCTAACCATTATATACCTATCAGTATGTTTTCGATCAAACTGCCATCCTACAACTGAGGCACTATTTCATTGAAATAATACAATTTACAATTACACAGCACACTAAAACTACGTTGGGTAAGCTAACAGGTAAAATTAAAGCTCTGACATGCTTTATACGCCACTGTCACAGATATGTACTGGGCAACATAAACATTTATTATATCTGTAAAGCACATGACAACTTTCTTAATCACTGTAAACTGGTTCATATTGAAATATATCTTAATTTGAAAATTCAATATGAACCAGTTTACAGTTATCAACTAAATATCCGATGAATATATTTCAAAAACTTTCTTAATCTCTTTGGAACCTTACAATGAATAATAATAATATGGAAATGGAATTGCATTAAAGGTTCAAGGCTATATATATATATATATATATCAAGAGTACATATATATATATGCGTGTGCGTGCGTGCGTGCGTGCGTGCGTGCGTGTGCGTGTGTGCGCGTGCGTGCGCGTGCGTGCGCGTGTGTGTGCGCGTGTGTGTGCGTGTGCATGCGTGCGTGCGTGCATGCGTACGTATGTGTGCGCATGTGTGCGTGCGTGCGTGTGTAGAATTTGTACATCGTCTGGAAAGGTTCACGGTTGCTGAAGAGAAGGGGTAGAGAATTATTTATTATTTGGAAGTGAGGTAGAGTGCAGGGGCACCTTTCCGAGTGCTGTACGTTCTTGGTGGCTCTGCGACCAGACTGTTGTTTACACGGTTTCTATACAGCTTGGACACACATCGTTGCTGAATGATGTCATCATAGATATCCTATACATAAAAAGCATAAAATTAGCTAAACAATTATTAGATTATATCCATAAAACACCCTAGTAGTTTACCATTAAATTACAACCAACTGAAGAGACGAGTGACTGTAAAACACTCAGTTCAGGATAGACTTTCTGGACAATCAATTGGTCAGTTTCATTAATCAGACTTGTTTATTAAATTTGATTATTAATTTGATATTGTTTGACCTTGACTTGCCCCCAATTCTAACAGTCCTCACCTGTGATTCCAACACCACATCCACACGATGATCAACGACCACGCCCTTCCCTCGACTCAACTGGGAGAGGTTGGCGAGTTGGTCTGGTTCACACTTGTTCATGATCACTAAAACATTGTGGCAAAAACGTATCTAAATGTATGGATTTGTATAAGATAGTTTTCTTCATTAAATTGTTTGCTGAATGCTATGGGCACAATCCTAGTTTAGCACCCCGGATTAGTTTAGCATATATGTGAACTATATATACCGGGATCCGAAATTAGGATTGACCAAGTGCCTATACTATGACAGTAATTGGAAGTGGGAAGTACGATATCATAATATCAAGAGCTCATAAGAGAGAGCTCTTTTCTCTTTTCTCTAAGAGAGAGCTCTTGATAATATTCACAGGGCAATTGTGGCATCTATCCACTTTTAACGTTAATTCTGTTACATAGAGTGCGGACAAGAGCTCTCGATTAGAAGCGATATTGTGATTTTTTTAGTTACAGATGAAATATTTCAAACTGTCCAATGCAAAGTCCGATGTAGTTAAGTACTTCAGAGTCACAAGAGTGGTCATGTGCACTTCTTGCTTCTCACTATCTGACAACAGTCAAATATGTCTACATGAAACAGTCGTAGAGCCTGGCCGGGCTAGCACTTGGTTAGATTTAGTTAGCAACTTAGCACAACAAATATTATTACCGTTGCGCGTGGTACCCATACATAAAATTATCAGTAGGCCTACACGCCGAGGTACCCATAGCATCAGGCTCATAGGGTCTATGTCCCCCAGGGTACTGCCGGAACGTACCCTGGGTACGGTCCGGTATACCGGAACGTACCCTGGTAACTATCTGATATGGTTATAGGGTTAGAGTTAGGGTTAGGGTTAGGGTTAGGGTTAGGGTTAGGGAGTAGGCCGGCGTAGGCGACTCCCTAGACTCGTTAGTGGAGTGGGCGAGCCTCGGTCCGGCATATTAGATAGTACCAGCAGAGCATATAAATCACGTTGATTTATATGCGCTGGTACCAGGGTACGTTCCGGCAGTATCCTGTGGGACATAGACCCTCTCAGCTATAATCAGCACACGCGTACCGCGCTAATTTAGCCTTCTTACCAGACTGCACGGCTAACATCAAGGGTGAATATAAAACGCTAACATCTGCTAATATCTATATGATATATCATATAATTATGCTTCGATATATGACCGTTTCCTGCAGCTGATGGCAATCAGAAATGTAGCTCCAAGAAACGGTATTGCTAGGGTTAGAATACCGTATAGACAATCCGTCGCACAGCCTGGTCGGGCTATCAGAAATGTAGCTGTGATGCTGTCATTTATTTCACATGCAAGACCACACTAATTAGCACATATATCCGAAAACATATGGCGGGGGTCCCAAACCATCCTTGATCTCTAATTAGCACGACCACGGCGCTCTTCACGAAGAAAACAAATCAAAATATACCACGACTTCTTCGCCCAGGATCCGCTGCAGGCTTAGGTGTCTGTTTTCATGCAACAGGTGCGCCAGCTCCGTACACAATCAGTTGCTAGGACTACGGCTGATAGTCGGTCACGTGACGTCGTTCTGGCCGTACGCATATCGTACGCACTCGCGTGCGCCTGCGGTAGATGAAACAGTCGGGCGATACCACGTACATAACAGGAGCAACTTGACTGGTTTCATCCCCCACAACGGAGCACTGCACAAGGGAAGTTGTTTTTAATGATAAACTATAAATTGATTTCAGGATTTAGGTATTATGTGGTGGGGACTGGGGAGGAGTCTGTGTGTGTTTGTTTGCTAGTGTGCGTGTGCGTATCCGTGTGCGTGATTGGGTGTGCGATCTCGTGCGCATGTGGCGTATCTGTGTGCGTGAGTGCGTGTGAGATCTCATGTGCATTGCATGTGCATGTGGGCTCTGTCTATATGGTTAATTGTCTGTCCGTCTGTCGATATAGCTCTCTGTCCGTCAGTTTATATGTCTGACTGTCTGTCTGTCTGCCTGTCTATCTGCATGTGTGTGTGTTTGTGCGAGAGACTGAGAGAGAGAGAGAGAGAGAGAGAGAGTGGTGTCTATAACAGTATAGACTTCAGGGGTATTTCTCTATTGTTTGCAGCCCAGTCGACGACCAGACACGTTAATTGGTTGGTGTTAGCTTCATTGAAATCTTACTGTCTTTCGCAGGGGAGGCGGTATATAAGCCTCAAGACTTAGAGATTGAGATACACGATTATCGACTGGTTCGAAGCCGTGCAACGATTGCTTGTACGTGCATGTCGGGGTGAGCGGTGGACATACAACCAAGGTTAGTTAGTTTAGTAAGTTATCTCGCGTCGGTTCGGTTCGGTTCGGTTCGGTTCGGTTCGGTTTGTTGATCAGATTAGGGTGGGGGGGTAGGTTAGGATTAGTAAGGTTAGATTTAGGCAGATTAGGTTTAGGTAGGGCACCGTAATTGTCTGCAGGACACGGTTGGGCAAAGCTGTTAGCTGTTATCATATGGCGTTGGCGCGGCGGTTAGCTGTGAGTATCAAGCTATCAGAAATTTATGCTCGGTCGGCGGTGTTAAAGTGTGTTGGCCGTGTACCTTCACTCGTTAGACTTCAGCTGCTATTTATATCAGGTGGAGCTGGTAAGGTGGTCGGCGTCACGTGTCTGTTGTCCGTATGCCTTCATCTGTTAGACCTTAACTGTCATTTCTTGGCAGGTGAGGCTGTTAGAGGTGGTCAGCATCGCGGGGGCTTTAGCAGTCGCCGGCCAGTATATGACTTTTAGCGAGAGAAAATGGTTAGGTTCGTGTTGATTGTCATTGTACATGGCGACGCAGTGGCGGTTAGCTGTTAATGTAGTTGGTTGCAAGCCAGGGCGCAAGCTAGGGGGTTAATGGTTAGTTAAGTTTTAAATGAGTACATCATTTTTTTCAGATTACCCTACAAGAGAGGTGTAGTTATACTACGTGGAAAATGCAAAGACGTGAGGAGCAACTTGACTGGTTTCATCCCCCACAACGGAGCACTGCACAAGGAAGTTGTTTTTAATGATAAACTATAAATTGATTTCAGGATTTAGGTATTATGTGGTGGGGAGGAGTCTGTGTGTGTTTGTTTGCTAGTGTGCGTGTGCGTATCCGTGTGCGTGATTGGGTGTGCGATCTCATGCGCATGTGCGTATCTGTGTGCGTGAGTGCGTGTGAGATCTCATGTGCATGTGCATGTGCATGTGGGCGTCTGTCTAT